ATGAACGTGACTAATATTGCGATATTAGCGAAGGGGCAAAGGACCCTGCTGCACAGCGGGGAGGAGGGGGGTAGTGGGAGGCATCGAGCCGAGGGGCACCGCCTGGCTGGAAAATCGTTTTGCGTGGGGAATAAAAAGAGTGCATGGGTGAATGTGAATGTATGAGGGCGAGGGCGAGGCGCGGCGGGGAGCAGCTGCAACGCAGCCGCCCGGCCGCTCCGCCCCGGACCGGCGCGGCGGAGGAAGCAGAGCCCCCGTCGTGGTTAGAATACTTTCCTCCAACTTTTCTGCAAACATAATAAACGAGGTCCGCAAAAAATAAAAATATAGAGGGCGAAGGGGAAGAAGAGCAAGTTGGGGAGGGGAGTCCGTTTGTGAGCATATAATTATACCAGCGAGGCCTCATGCGGTAGTTGTGCTGCACACGGCGAGGGGAGGGGGGGCTGAAGACTTAGGGTGGCTCGAAACCACGGAAAGGTATATACAGTACACAGCACCATGTGGCTAAAGGATCGTCCAGAAAGTACGTCCGTTTTTCACAGTTTCCTTGGCGCCTGCGAGACCCCGGGTAGGCCACTCCGCAGTACACGTATGCGCCGTAGGGAAGATGTTGCCTACCTAACAGGCGCTGAGAGCTTGCAAGGGCTTCACTTGGGGTGTTGTCATCGTAACGGCCAATGACGGACGTACTTTCTGGATGACCCCTAACCCCGCACACATCCGTAGTTATACTGTACCGCACGCACGAGTGTAGGTGGGTTGCCTACTCGCTCGGCTGTTAGGCCCCGTGGACAAGGCTGATGATAGGCAAGCCCGCCCGCACTCGTGTGTGTGATGTGTGATACGGCATTACTGCAGAGGTGAGCGGAGTTAATCAGGCCCTTGGTATGCGGTTGTTGCGACATTAATCAATACGGGAATTTTGTTTCACCAATGTCTTCCACGCAGGAGTCGAGACCGTTAGAAGCGACTGTCTCCTCAACCCGTCCCTGGGTACCGCACACCCCGCCCCACGGAGGGCAGGGCCCCCCGTCTAGACCCAACGCCCGGTGCCCCCGCTCCACCACACCACAAGTCGGCGGCGTTAGGGACACCGGCGGCGGAGAACCCGGGATCCCGAAGAAACTCAAGATGCACTCGACGCTGTTTGGGGGAAGACTTAACGAGAGGCGGAGACATCTTGTGATGTCTCGAGTGAGCCTCGGCGTCGTTCTTGAGAAGCTCGCGGGCCACGTTCTCCTTCAAGACGAAACAGTGCCGCTCTCTGTGTGTGGAGTGGAGCAGGCGGAGCAGGCGGAGCAGGCGACTCCCCCCGTGAACACCACGACGAACGCCACACCTCCTTGGGAGGAGCGAGAGAGCGCGCGACACCGCGAGGCCGCCGGAGCCGCGGCGTGACGAGGCGATGTGCTCCTAGTTCTGCCCGACCAGCACGGCCGAGAAGCACGGCGGGTACACAGTCAAGAGCCGCCATCAAATTGTCAATCATCCGAATACCGTAGCCGGCCGGTCGGGCCCGTCCGAGCTGGCCCGCCCCGCAGTTTTCAAAAGAACTTATTTTCTCCTCTCTTTTTTTTCGGCAGGGCAGCCCTACTACCATTGCGCCGCTGAGCCCGCCGCGCCACGCCACGCCACGCGTGGACCGGTTAGTCAACCCTCGCGGTCCCACCGTGGCACCATGGGCCGCCCGGTCGCCGGCCCGCCAGAGAGACACGTCGGTCGCCCGACCCTCCGCGGCCCCCGGACGCGGGACGCACCCGGGGGCCCCCACGCCACAATTCTTTTGGCAGCGCCGGCCGGCAGCAGCAGCGGCAGTGTGAATAAGAAGACGGATGACGAGCGCCGCGGCGGCGGCCGTGCCAGCGGCTGTGCTGTGAATAATCGGCACGCAACGGTATGGAGAATCAGCCCGCTGTCACGCGCGTGGCCGAACAGAACAGGCCCCCGGGCGCCGCCCCCTCGCCGCCCCTCCCCCCTCCAGCGCTGCGAGGAATACGTAATACTAGAGAAACAAGCGGTGCCGGCAGCCGCGGCAGCAGCAGCGGTCCGGTCACACCGCGGGCGCGCATACAGGCATAGGTGGTGGGAACACCGTGCAGGACAGGGAAGCTGCGGGCGCGCAGATGGAAGCAACAATCATCATAATACCTCCACAATAAGGAAGAGAGAGAGAGAGAGGGAGAATTGTAATAGAAACATCTGTAAATAAGTTTCGATGGCGATTTCTCTCTGCCCCCGCGCCGCTACTTGTTCCTTGGTTAGACCCTCGAAAAGAATCGAAGTTCCGGCCGGCGGGGCGGGACGTTCGATGGCCTTCATGCCCCCTGCCACGGTTAGCGCCGGCGCTGGCGCCCCCTTGGTGCCCTCCGCCTTCCCCTTGCTGTCCCCGCCGCCGCCGCCGGCCAAAAGGTCCTCGGACACCACCAATCGATGAGGCGGCTCTACGCTTGCTTTGGCTCGGCTCGGAAGGTTACCCGCCCACGGCACGGCGCGGGCGACGCCACGCGTAAACACTACTCGGCACACGACATCGCGTCGATAAAGAGAGCGTTCCAGCGTCATCGAGAGCCTTCCGGAGGGAAAGGGGGGGGGGTGTACCCACCATACCCACTCACCCCTAGCCGAGCGCCGCCGCGTGCTGTGCACCCGTTAGCATTGACCCTGTTCCCCGCCGCCTTTGAGCCGTGCCGCGCGGCGCGAGTTCAGCGTCGGTATTCCCTTTACTTCCCCGAGTACCTACCTGCCAGTAGCACTGCGGGTCTGGCGCGGGGTACGGCCGCGCCATTCACCTGCTCCTTTGCTCCGCCTGTCAGCGACTGACGGTCAGTCCGTCTGTCTGCCCGCGTCAGTCAGCTTCCTGCGCTCAGCTGATCCGCGGTGAGGCAGGATAGGAGAGGGCCTCGCCTTGCCTTGCCCTGCTCCTGCGCGGCCCCGCTCCAGCTTTTTACGAAACGCGGAGCGGCGGAGCGGGAGGCAGGTCTGTGAGGGTAACAGGACTGACATCGTGTATAGCTCGGACGGACGTGGCGCTCACACACACACACACACACACTCGCGAGGGTTCCGTTCGCGCAAACGCCACATAACCGTCGTCGTGATGCTCCCGCTCTAGGGTCTGGCAGGATGGACCGAAGCAAGCAGGGCTGGATCGGGAAGGAGAGGAGGGGAAGGGGGAAAAGAACTTTGATTTAAACGGCGTGGCTGGCTGGTCGGGTCAGTCGCCTTGGCACGGGCCGCGAGTGGGCGGCAGACGACGCGAGCGAGGGCAGGTGCACCCATGTGCGGGCGGGCGCGCTGAAGCATCTCCTGACCGCGCAGCACCCAGGCAGAACCCGGCAGAACTTGCCTCCGTGCCCCCGGGCATGCAGGACGGCCCGGACAGTTGTCACATTTCAAAGTCAGTCCGTGACGCGGGACCCGGGGTGCGCGTACGTTTTGCAGCCGAGTGGGATGTTGGACCCGACAAGTTAACCCGACCCCGCTCCCCGCACCCGCCCGCGCAGCCGCAGCACGGCTCACCTCAAATGGCCCCAAAATGTCCACCCGGACCTGGGACCCGGCGGTCGCAACCCCCCTCGGGACCCCAACCGGTGCCCCGCTTCCCCTCCGGCAGTCACGTTCTGATATAAAGCATTGTCGCTTTTTTGTCACGTGACGTGCCACTGTTCCCACCGCACACGGCCGAGCGGAGGGGCCCTGAGGGGGGGGGGGGGCAACAAAACACGACAAAACGCGTACTGCCTGCCGTTGGGGAACTAAATCACGGCCCCCTCCCCCTCCCCCCGCGGATTAGCGGGCGCCGCGGCCGCCGGATTGGAGCATTAAACAGCCGCGCCCGGACCCCCGTCGCACCGCCCCACCTGACTAACGTGTGCGCGCGTACGCGCATGACAGGTCGTCAGACTCTGCTGTGTCCGCTGGGCAGGGCACTGGCATAATTGCCCCCCCCCCCTCCCCCCGCGGCGGAGGTCGGCGGCGTCGCCGCGGCCAGAGAGCGGCGCGAGGTCGGTCAGCTGGTCGCATGGTCACGGGTCGGTCACAGGCCAGCAGGTCGCGCGGGAGCTTCTGCTGCTCCTAATTACCCCCCGTGTGTGTGTGAGAGAGTGTATCGTGCGTGTGTTTGTGTTAGTGGGTCCGGGGCACACGGACTCGAGACCGGAAAGGGGGAGAAAATCAGCGCGGCCGCTGCAGCAGGCCAGGTCGGGCTGGTCGGGCTATGCGGCAGGCGCGGCGAGGAGTGGAGCACGGCCCCGACGACGTCCTGGCCCCGCGGCGCGGATCTCGTGCGGAGAGACTGGCGTGGCCGCGGCGGGGGTCACTGGGACGGGTCACACGATTGGGAGCGTCCGAAATCCGGGGACACGATTTGTTTATCGAGGACGGCTCGGCTGCTCCTCGCCATGTCCCCGTCCCATACGCTGCGCCGCGCCGTGGCGGTGGGCTCTGCGCGGCGTGGTGTGCGAATCTGTTATTTTTGGAACGCACTCGCGATGCGGTGGGCCGCCGCCGCCCCCCATGTTTCCGCCTGCTGTTGCTGTAGTGTGCTTGTCTGGCCCCGCCGCGCCCCGCCCCGCGAGACGGGCACACGTGCCTGGACGGACAGCCCACCTGCTCACGTGTCACGGGGCGCGCGGACACAGCTCGTTCCCAAAGAGAAGAGGAAGAAGAAAGACGATATTATTGTTTGCCGCTCTGAGTCGCAGGCAGGCGGGCCCCGCCGCCGCGTGGTCTAGTCTGCATGTGACAGCTCAGGTGACGGCCGCGACCACAGCTCCGGCCGCTCCGAGCCGCCCACCGCGGCCGAACAAGGAGTTTGAGTGCGCTGCCGCGGGGCGGGGCGGGGCGGGGCGCGGGGACCTTCCCCAGCGATTTGGCGCCGCCACACTGACGAGCGGCGCTCTCGACACGAACTCCTCGAACCTCGCCGCAGTCAAGCACCGCGCCTCCCCGCTCGCTCCCCTCGGCTCCCACCGATCAAGCTACAGCGGGGGATTTCTCACCTGACTGCTGGGCGGTTATCACGGGGCGTTGGTGGGCCAGAAGCGCTGAACAGGGGGTGGTTGAACACGAGCGGTGGACGACGCGTGGTTGACACAAAGCACTGGTCAACGGGGCGAGTGCGCGGGCGCCGTCACCCGGAGGGGGGCTCCGATGACAACAACGCGTGTGACGCGTCGCGACAACGCCGCCGCGGGTGACGAGGGAATGCCTGCCGACGCCGACGCGAGGGGCGGCGAGGAGGCGGTGCGCGCCGTCAGCGGCGAAGCGGCTCTCCCGGCGTGCGAGACGCGACTGAGCTCAGAGCAGCGCGGCGGGCGAGGCGAGGCCCAACTGAGCCGAGGAGGGACTCAACTCAAACCGCCGCGCAGCGAAGCGCCCCCCGCCGCCCCACAACCACGCCACACCACAACCGCACGGAGCTGAGTGTCTCTGTTCTGTTTGCCATGGCCTATGTGTGTTTCGGTGTGCGTGCGCTCGCGTGATGCGCGCACCGCTCCGGGGGAGCAGGCCGCTCCAAACCTGTCAGTCAGGCCGGGTGGGTCAGTCGGAGTCCGTGGCTAGGTCAGTTCGTCTAGTCGCGCGGCCACGACACGACAGCGTGCACGCACCCTGCCAGTCGGGGCTGTCGGCGCGGCACAGGTAAGTTCTCTCTCAAAGACAGCCAGATAACAGAGCTTTCGTGGCTGACCTCAGGCCGAACCACCCGTCACCGACAGGAAACGCGGACGACACCAAACCGGTTCATAAGGAAACCAAGGAGACGACAAAAATATTAACTTAATGCCGCATTTGAAATTTTGAGGGAAAAGGGAGGGGGCGGAACGCTACGAAAGCGCGAAAGTTTGCCATATGGCACATACCACTGCACACAGCCGCAGGGTCGCCCTTCGGCCAGGTGCAGCGGCGGCCGTGCAGCCGTTGACCCCGCCTGAGTGGTGCAGTACAACGAGGGGTGGCAAGGCGTAGCAGGGCAGGTCAGTGGTTCGTGGCGGCCGAAGGGGGCGGCCCGAAGTGGGCAGCAGAGTGCGGCCCGCCCGCCTCACTTATTACCGTGCTGGATAACGCTGGCACTATACTCGCAGCAACGGCGGCAAAACCAGCTCGCCGAGGCGCCAAAACTGGGCCGAATGTGGGAGCGCAGGCGGTACGTGGGGGAATGCAATGCAGAGGTGGGCGGGGGTGCAGAGCAGTGCAGAGGCGCCCGGGAGGTAGGCAGACCCAACCACCACGCCTGCCGAGCGGGCTAGGCGTGCCGGGCGCCTGCGCGGGGGGCGAACACCTGATCGACACGCCAGAGCAGAGCGACCGGTTCTAGAGAGTGGCAAATGAGAGGTACACCCTGCCCCATTTCAACGCGCAGCTGGCGCGCCCCACTACTTGTCGTTTCCCCAATGCATTATCACCCCATGCACTTGACAACCTAACGGCAGCAGCACAGGACGCCGAAGCTGGCAGGCCGGGTTTATTGCAAAACTTGCAATATTTATTGATGGAGAGTATTAGTTTGGCTTGGGTCCACATTCACCTCGCAAAGACACCCTCTTTTGCTGAAATTTAGTCCGCAGAATAGAAAGGTTACAGATCTGCGGAAATAATTTTATTTTGTAGCCCAGTTTGATAAAATTTCATGCGTATTGGTTTTCAAAAACTTAAAAACGATGCTGTACAGTTAGTGCATTGTAAATAAAGTCAGATACTGTAAGAAAAATATGTTGGAACTTGGAAATTGAGAAATGAAATTTTTCGCAACAATGCATGGCGTAATAGAGAGTGATTTGGAAAATTCTTGACAAATGTGTTGCTCAAAGGAAGGAGACGCTCACCTTTGATAATGTCTAATTATACTTGACAATACAGTTAGATATTGTTGGTCCATATCTCTTCTATATTAACGCATCAGGAAATTTCTGGCAATGACGTTACGAAAGATTCTATTAACTGCTATTTGAGGTAAACGAATGGTAAACAATCAAAAACAGAACAACTGTGTAATTACTGTGACGTGAAAAAAAATGTTCAGGTTATTAGCTAGTCCCTTCTAATCAAAATGATGAACATACTCACCCACTTCATTTGAGTCGGACCATGGCGTTTTGAGATTCCATATTACAAGCTGAGGAGGAGGATGGCAATTGATGAAGGTGAAATCACTGACACCGTGCGAGTAACTGATAACCGATAATTTAGGAAGGAGGACAAACTGTTTTTATTTACCACTTCAGCTCAAGCAAACTCGTCGACTACCCTTCGTTCATCACTTGTTTTCTTTTCTGCTACGAGACCACTAGAGCGCTCTACTGGCCTGAGGCTCAACTACAGAAAGATAGACAATTTAATGAGAAATTCAGCCCCACGAACAACGCACGGCCCGTCAGTCAATCAATCGAACTGTTTGCTAATTTTGTTGCAGAAATTATGCCGATTAGAAAAATTGAAGTGTAATACCATTCTATTTTTGGAACATAAACTGCTTCTGACAGGAACAGGAGCAATATGTGGTTTTTGTATCTTTTAAGTTATGTGGCATTTTTGGTGCAAATGTTATTCATCGTAATATCTATAGGTAAGGTTACTGTACTGCTTGTACAAATGTACCTGCCACGAAAAATTGTCCATTCACTCGCTGTTCACTTTGTTGCATTTGCTCCTTCTTTAACTCCATTATATTGGACAACTCCATAATACTGGAATAAATCCCCATTGCTTTCTATTAATCATGAGATATTGTCAAGTTTTAAAGTATGACGTCCCTAATTATGTTTCTTAACATTAATACATTTTTATTACAGCTGCAGGTCTCTATTATCTGGCAGAAATCGTTGAAGAATACACTGTAGCGTCTAAGAAAGTAATTTGGTGGATGACAATTGTGAGTATGATCCTCACCAGACTTATCTCTCAATGACTTCTTTAGTGAAAATACTGTTATCAGGTATTTATTTTTTATCTTCTTATTTCAGGCATCATTAATAATTTATACATGTTTTTTAATATTTGAAGACTTGCCTCTTTCAATGAATGCCTGTGGTATTCTGGCGCATCTCACTCACCTTTTTATATTAAACTCCTTTCCTGTTGTGGTGTTAAGCTCTCCGCAATTTCTTTTGGCTATTGTGATGTTAGTTGTCAATCATTACCTAGCATTTAGTTATTTTGGAAGCGTCTATCATCCCTTTTCTGAGGTAAGCTACCTAGTTATGCTAAATTTTAACAGCGATTTGTGACTTCTTACCCTGAACATTTGACCTCCTATTGTTATTTTTCTTTTCCCCCAAGGTAATAGGATACTTTACCTTGTGTCTGTGGCTGGTCCCATTTGCTCTTTTTGTTTCTTTGTCTGCAAATGAAAATGTCCTTCCCACCCATGCTGAGACAGCACCTCTACTTGGTAAGTCTTCATTTTTTAATATTTTAGAACATACGTACCTCTCAAAATACTTATTCTAACACTTGCGGTTTCCATTATTTTATAGACAATGATGTTGTCAGCAATTATTTCTCTAGACGGGGAAAGAAGTATGGACTCCTTACCTTCTTCAACTATGCTAAGGAGTCAGTTCTGCCTCAAAGAAATAAAAAAGTTTTTTAATCCTAATTCTTAAAATGAAATCTACAAACTTTGATACTAGGCTAGGCAGCTTAAGCTAAGAAACTGATTTTTTTTTAAGCGCTCTCATGATTTTTCTTCTTTCCTTGAGTCAGGAAAACAATGCTTAAAGTCGCTTAAAGTACGAAGTTCCAACAATTTTTGGAGTCTTTTCTATGGCTATGGCTGTGTTATGTAGTTAATCTATGTATCTATCCTTCCAAGAGCTACATTTACTAGTCATAAGATGTATATTGTTCAGATGTGCTGTATATATTAGGTAAAAAAACCTTCCAATAATATTTATTTGTAATTTGAAGTTGGTAATCGAACACTTTGAAACTCATCTGTTCATGCTCAAGCTCAAAAATTTTAAAAAATGAAATAATTAATACTCTATGTTAGTATTCAATGTATCTGCAGTTGAAGAACTGTCCCTTAGCAAATTTTGTAACTTCATACAAAAAATAAAATTTCCTTTCAATCCTGTACTAGCTTATGAATTATCTAACAATATTATTAACTCCTTTTTATACTCTCAAGGTTTATTGTATAGTTTTCTTTAAATTTTCAATAAATCTCCACCTTAGACAAGTGCATCTCATTTTTACTTCTGTGTGAATGTAGGTACATTAACATAAAATTATTCCAAACTTCAATGATCTATAAAAACTTCTTTCTTTTATGGTAAAAAAACCTTCCAAAATATTTACATGGATTTAAAAATGGTCAACTTGCAACTTGCACACGAATTCTGTGATAAGCATTCCCTAGAACCCCTCGCAGATTCCAAATATTGGCAAATGTTTCAGGCTGAGTATTGTAAGCTGAGTCAACGGCTTTGGCCCAAAGTTCAACCTAAAATACATTTTAAACTGTACATTAGTTCATCAAACATAATACCTAATTGTAAAAGTTTCCAACAATTAACAAGAAAAATTACCTCTCTGACACCTTGAGGAATGGGTAAATCAATTGACCATAATGACCAACCCCAATGGTGAGGTTCCTTACTGCTATCCTGAGCAGTTATATTTGCTGAATGCCATGTTTTTCCTGAATCAGCTGTGACATCCACTCTCACAATTCTCCTTCCTCCACCAGACCATGCATATCCTTTAAGTGATATGGAAAACAATCCAACTTCAGAACTGATTACTTATAAAGTAAATTCTAACTTTTACTCATAACTTACTCACCTTTCATGTTAAGGGAGCTGTTGGAATTCAATTTAACAACAGATCCTGAATCTGGAGAACAAATAGCGGAAATAACGGGGAGTTCTTGAATGGCTGGACTTTTAGAGAAGTCTACTGTATCCCAGTCCACACTTGGATTAAATCCTTTGTAATCATTTTGCTGCCAGTGGGAATCAGACTCTACGTCACTCACTATGATACGACCTATCAAAGACAAATACAGCTCACAAAAAATCCATGTGAAAAGATATTTCCATAATGTACATTGTTTGCTCTCAAGTTTTAAGGAGTAAAATACATAAAACAGCCTCCTTACCTAACCATTTTACATTGCGAGCACCAACAGTTCCTGGCACAACAGCACGAATGGGAAAACCATGGTCTTTTGACAAAACCTCGCCATTCATTTCATATGCTAATACCACATCACCTTTGGGGTCAATAGCCTTGTTAAATGGTATTGATGCTCCATATGGTACATTAGAAACATCATGATCCAGACCTTCAAACTGTTAAAAAATATTTTGCCTCTGTAGTTATTAATCTGCAGTTTAATGAGATATAATTGCATCTTACCTGAATGTGTTGAATGGATGGGTCATTTTCTTTAACCCCAATGTAGCGAAGAATATCACTGAGTCTTGGACCAGACCAAGTTGCATTACCAATAGCAGCGTGTCCCCAGTTCAAGCCTTTCACAGGTTTTATCTACAGAAAAGGTGACCAAAACTTATGAGTTTTTGAAATAAAAAGAAATATATTAAAAACATGTGCTTTATCTTACCTCAGTCATTTCACCTCTTCTGTTTCCCGCACACATAACTGTAGCAGTCACAGTCACCTGTTCGAATTTGGTTTTCAAGTCATCGAGTGAAAAGCTATAGTCTTTGCCTTGAAAGTGTATTTCTAATTTATAATCATTCTCCGAAATTTCTGGCACAGGTAAATGATTGCGGACATAAAATAAGTCACTGAGTAAAAAAAGAAAAAAAGTTGAATAGAGAAATGAATTGAATAAAAAATACAGACAGTACATTAAATAAATCTATTGACTATTGACTCACACTGGAGTTACGAAGCTCTCTGTAAGAAGTGTTGGAGGTGGCTCAGCATTAAAAGGTTTCTTGGATGATGGCTTTAGAGCAGGATGTCTGATAGGGTCTCTTGCATATGGATCTTCCATATTCGCTGTGGCCTCAGCTGCCTCTGCAGGCGATAAGTTGCCTGAAAGAACAGATCTTGAAAGATTATTCGGGTTCTGCTAACAATGTGATACAGTTTTAAAAAGTACACTTAGTAATACCAATTCTGTATTTTTCAAGGATGGCCAGAACATTAGGATTTTTGTGAACTCCATACAGCATCCAAAATGGTTCAACTGATGATCCTGCAGCCATAGAGATTTTTTCAGATCCTCCTGGGTGTTGAGGTATGAAGTCTGTGATGTCATAGACTCCTTGTCCATACGTCACCCAAATCCTTTTCTCCATTGTTGTATGTTGCAATACCTCTTCAAGGGTATAAGTTGGTAAGTCTTCACGCTTTTCGCTAGGTACTGATTTTTGAGCTTTTTTGGGAGCATTTCTGGCAAGATTTTCAATTCGATGATCTGTGACAATATTGTAATAATAACTTACAATTTTCCCGACAGCAAACTTTCTCAATAAATTTGACAAATTATGGTGATATTACACACCTTCCTTCAGATTTTCCCAGACTGATTTACCCCTGAACACCTGATAATCAAGACTATCTTTGTCACCACTTTTTGCTGGAAAAAAAAAGAAGAAGATTAGTAAGTGGCATTCTGGAAATGGATTTCACTGCCTCAGTTTTATATTTGTGCATATTTTCTCTGACCTGTATAAACCTGATGAGCCAGGAGTCCTATACCCAAAGTGCCAAAAAGTCTCATCATAACGACTCTATTAAAATAACCACCACCCTGATTTTTACTTCCGCCATACTGGCGATTTTGCTGCTGGTTCTCCAGTTCCAAAACATGGAGAAGAGGATATATTCTACTGGCAGATGTTCTGCAAAATAAGTAAAGAAGCATATCGTAGAAATTCCTTGTCACTATACAGCAGTGAATAAAAAACACAATATTGATGTAAAGTCATTTGTTAAAGACATGAATAATAAATTCATTCTCTGGCAACACTCATAATGAAATACTTGAAAATAAAATCGACAGAGGACAAAAAGGGGAAAAGGTTAAAATCAAAAGGGAAACAATCTCTAATACAACACGCAAAGCTGACAGATAAGTTATTCTTACCGAAAACAGCTGATTTTGTGCGACCCTATCCTGTAGAGTGTCATGTTGCACGGAAAGTGTCACGACTCTCCTCACTTCAAATCCAGTGGCATGCCAACGACACACTTTTCCGGAACCAGCCCGGGCCAGATCTGGCGACGGCAGTGAACAGGTTTTCGAGCTTGCGTCATCTACATATTATTCCTGCGGCTTTATCATGTTTTCCGTGGCTCGTGGCTCGCTTGTCGCTTGCTTCATGATTTCGCTACCTCAACACAGCAGAACACATTGGTATTGGTCCCTGTTTGACATTCGGGTTCAGAAGCTGAAGCAGGGGGGTTAGTGAGCCTAACTCGCCGCCGGGGGTATGTGCGTTATGAACGGGCGATACCCCGCGCGCTAAAAGGGGAGGGGGGAGGAGGGAAGGACTCGTAGTTCTACTATTGGCCGCGAAGGGGTGGCTGCAGCACCGTCGAACCGGCTTGCCGGCGGAGCAGGCGAAGCAGGGACGTGAGTCACTGGAGGGAGGGAGAGCAGAGGAAAGGACGAACCACGCGGGCAGGGCCGTCTTTCTTTGTCTTTTCTTTTTGAGTCAGTCGGTGCGAGTCTGGCACGCGAGTCGGACGTGCGTGCGTGCGGCCGTGGTGCGTGTCGCGTGATGCTGAGCCGGTGTGAGGCGCGCTGCCGGCCGTGTTCAAGCAGTGCCTCGCTGTGACACTAGGTGTGGGTCATGTGCGAAGGGGTGTGTGTGTCGGAGTGAATGCTGTCTGGTTGGAATCACTTTTTTGGACACTGCCGTTTTCTTTCCGCGACGAAGATGACAGCGCTTCTCAGCTGTTTACTTGTCGGTAAGTTGTGAGTCGTTTTGTAGTACTCCCTTTCGTGACTTTGGAGTCAGCATCGCGGTGACTTAATCCGCCGCGATGTGTGGTGTCGAGATTTTTGATGTCAATCAATGCGCATGCAGCAGTTGAATGAAGGGCAGCAGGGAAGCTGTCGAAAGTCACACGTCCAACTGTCACATGCACATTAGTGCATAACGCCCCCTTCCGTCGGAACACCTTGCCTGAATAAATGCTGTAAAGTGCGTTTCCACTCATATTCTGAGTTAAGCAGCGGAGCCCGTAGTTGAACCTGGAACCCATCGACTGGAGCAGAATCACGCTGGGAGGCGTGGCGTGAGTGACTGTGTGTGTCCACCAGTCAGCCGCGGATCCATTTGAGGAACCGTGTTAATAAAGCGATTACCGCTCGGTCCAGCTGAGTTACCTGAATGGAGGGGGGCGGGGGGGAGTAACAGGCGAGCCTGTTCGGACCTGCACCGCTGCGCCTTGGCAACGCGGCGGCCGGCGGCCGGAGCCCAGTCCTGGGCTTAGCCATGCTTAGCCGAGCGAGCGGGCAAATACCTGTCGTCGTCGTCGTTTTTCGGTAGCGGCGTGTCTGCAAAGGGAATAAGAGAAGAAGGGTCCCCTTTCCAGCCGCACGCACATAAGCCGTGTCATACAGTGTCTCATTTGAATGCAAGCACGCCGCCCCGCCCCGCCGCGCTCTCAAGCCTCAGCAGCCTGCTCGCTCAGCCCTGCGGAGTGGAATGCCATGCCTGGCCGAGCCGGGTCGGGCCGAGTCGAACAGCAGCCATGGGATCGCCAAGTCAAGAGGAGAGGCTAAACCGTGATCGCGCCGGCCGGCGGTGTCCGGCGGTGTCCGGCGGTGTCCTCCTGGCGCGGGGACCGAGTGCTCGTGGTGGTGGACTGCAACAAGGTGCAGCGGAGCTGGCGGCGGCAGGGCTGCCAGCTAGATAAGCAACTGACTCGGGGATTAACTCGGCAAACAGCGCCGGGGAGGGAAGGGGTGGAGAGGAAAGGGAGCACACCGGGCACACTCACTCCATCGAGGGGACGGACACTGCGAGCAAGTTGAGCCCCCGACGCATTCCGCTCACGAGCAGCAGAGTGCAGTTTTCTTTTTGTAGTTGCCCCTCCTTTCTTTTTCACTTTTTATTTTCTTTCTTTATTAGTGGGCGGCCTGGCTAGCCCAGGACACGAAGGCAAAATAAGGCCTCATTGCGCAATAAAATTGTGTATGGCTGAATTTTTGTACACTGGTAGAACAGCTCCTCCCCATTCACCTAAATTTTAGTCCCCAGTCGGGAAACGTGTGCGATTTGAGATATTGAACAAAAAGGGCCTAAATGCAGGGGTTTGCGGCACTGGTCATAGCTCCCAAACTATTTGTGCTAGAAAGACGAGACAAGCGCCAAACTGTTCGGGATGAAACGTAGAACAAGATCCAATCATCAGAAGCCGCGATAAAATATTACCTCCGATCAAAATCTTGAGCTAAAGAGAAAACTGACAAATTTCCTTGTTCAATTTCGGATATCTCACATCATACCTCATTAACGGGCAGGAAAACGATGGGGAGGCCCCGACGAAACGTTGTGCGCGTATCCTTTAGCTAGACAACGATGTTTTCAAATTTGTCGTAGTCCCAACCGTTCGCCCTCAAATCGCCTGGAACTGGGGCCGTGCAGAGCCTCCCGGCGGCCCGCCGCTGCGTCCCGCCCACCCGCTCCTCCCCCCGCTCCGGGCAGCGGCTCTGTCTGTCTCTCTCGCACTCACGGGCCGCATAGGGATGGCGCGCGGCGCTGGGCGCGTCAAGGAGCAAAACTAAACATTTAATTTAAAGCATTTCAAAAATTGCTACGCGAAAAAAAAAATCTGTGTCGTATAGATACTCTTGTCTATTACCACATATCCGAAATCCAGTCTTTGGACTTTCACCGGAACCAAGTGGGACGTGAATAATAAGAAAATTTAGCCGTTTTCTTTTAACTGTTGCCGTGGGTGAACGGTTCGACCAAAACGTGTCGCGAATGGTGCATTTTGTTCGGATAAGTACCTGTTTAACACATTAGAAAGGAAATAAACACGCGTTTTACGATGATGGCATACAAGTCTACTTTATTGTTGATTGGGAATTTTACAAAATATACAAAATCTTTAAGCCCTGAGGAGACCGTAAAACGCGTGTTTATTTCCTTTGTCATGTGTTAAACAGGTACTTATCCGAACAAAATGCACCATTCGCGAAACGTTTCGGTCGAACCGTTCACCCACGGCAACAGTTAAAAGAAAACGGTTCAATTTTCTTATTATTCACGTCCCACTTGGTTCCGGTGAGAGTCCAAAGACTGGATTTCGGATATGTGGTAGTAGACAAGAGTATCTATACGCCACAATTTTTTTTTTTCGCGTAGCAATTTTTGAAATGCTTTAAATTAAATGTTTAGTTTTGCTCCTTGACGCGCCCAGCGCCGCGCGCCATCCCTATGCGGCCCGTGAGTGCGAGAGAGACAGACAGAGCCGCTGCCCGGAGCGGGGGGAGGAGCGGGTGGGCGGGACGCAGCGGCGGGCCGCCGGGAGGCTCTGCACGGCCCCAGTTCCAGGCGATTTGAGGGCGAACGGTTGGGACTAC